TCCATATGAAGACTAGTCGTAGTGATAAATAAATAAACGTTGGCGATGTCTTAACATACATAACGCTTTAACGGTGTCTGGAAAGTTCCAGTGCTTCAAGGACATTGCCGCATTTGTTTTAGCGGAATAAATTAATAATTTTAGTTTTTGTTACAGTTCCGTCTTGACTGTGGCGAGAGACAGTACAATTTTTTTGTTTATTAAATTATTCTTGTTATTTATTACTAAATGTATATTCTTGTTGTTACGGTTTAAGTTTCTTGTTTTGTTTTTATAATGCCTAACGCCTACGTTTATAATGCTCGTGAATACGGCAATATGTTAATGTGTCTTGGTGAAGCTCGCGGGAATGCTTCGCATGCATTGCGAATTTATCGAGAGAGATTCCCGACCGCTCGACATCCAGCTGACTCTCGTCTGATAACAGCAGCATTTCAGCGAGTGTTGGAAAATCGGCCCATTGCTCTGGTAGCGGCAGGAGGTGGAAGTCAAGTGGCTGTTCACTCAGAGGAGCGTATTTTAGATGTCGTTCGCCGGAATCCGAACCTAGGTACACGAAGTATCGCTAAATTGTTAAGGCGTCGGGATGGAACAAGTATATCATACTGTACAGTTCACAAAGTGTTAAAGCGTAACCGACTGCGCCCATATAAAGTGTACAAAGTGCAAGCGTTAGTTACCGGCGATCACGACCGCCGGCGAATCTTCTGCCGTTGGTTATTAGACCAACAACAACGTGTGCCTGGTTTCATTGAGCACGTCATCTGGACGGACGAGTCAACATTTACCAGAAACGGCCTGTGGAACCGAAGAAATACACACGTGTATTCAGAGGTTAACCCGCACGCTGTTCGACAAACCGGGCACCAAACCCGATGGTCGGTTAACGTATGGGCAGGTTTATTTAAGAATCGCATACTAGGACCAGTGTTTCTGCCACAGCGACTTAACGGACAGCGATACCTGAAATTCATAAATGAACAGTTGGTGGACATTTTAGACGACCTATCGTTGGCTGAATATCGCCGCACATGGCTCCAGCATGATGGTGCCCCTCCACATGTCGTGAGGTTAGTCCGTGAGCGCCTCAATGAGCTATTTGATGATCGCTGGATCGGCAGACTAGGACCACACGCTTGGCCACCTCGCTCACCAGATCTGACCCCGTTGGACTTCTTTCTGTGGGGGTATGTGAAAGAAAGGGTTTTTAATCGCGAGTGTGATAGTGCTGATGAAATGCGCCAAAGGATCGTGGATGTTTTCGACAAACTACGTACGGACTGTGTCGAAGACCACACGATGATGCCCCGCCTGCATGAGGAGATGCAACACCGAGCCCAAATCTGCCTTGAAATGAATGGAGCACAATTTGAGCCGCATCTCATAAGACCACGGAGGATTTAGAGCGGTAAGCTGTTTCATAAGTTTTTTTTTTAAATAACTTAGTACTGGACTAATCTGAATTGGTACATAACTGAATACATGAGAATAATAAACATACCTACACGATGAATAAAAACGCATGACTCCAATCTTGGTTACATTTCATTAATTTAAGTATTTCTTCATTAGCGGGGAATCGAACCAGTTATTTGGGTTATTTAACCTGTAAATTCGTATTAGTGGCTACGTGGAGACAAGTACAGTGGCAAAATAGTAGGTTGAGTAGATAAGTTAGGTATTTAGACAAGTGTTGTAAATTATTAGGTAATGTGCTAGTTGCGGGCCGCGCGAATTTGCGTTCGCGCGTACATTGACCTCAAATCAGCTGATATCAATTCAGTAATTCCACTGCTGGTTTTATGTTTCAGTATTTTCATGATTTTTTTTTATGAAATTATCGTTTCATTTAGCTGTACTAACATGATAGCGCGTGAATAAAGCTAATAAAACGTTATAAAAAGATGATTTTTTTTTCATCAGGATCGAATTTATGTGTTACCCATGATCAAAGGTATACTTGGTGCTGTCGCCTGTCTTAGTTTTCGGGAGCGTTCCAAAAATACCCTGTATTTACAAACACTGCAAAGATACCTTCATTTTACCGAAGAGGATCGTCAACCACTCAAATTACCAATTTATTCTGATACATCTAATGAAGATTCAAATGAGTCAAAAATTGGTTTTAAAAATAAAGATAGAGATCTAAAAACTTCAGTTGATATTGAATCTTTGCTGGAGGAGAATCGATCCATTAAAAGTAAAGAAAATGATGAAAATCCACTTTACACACCAGCTCAAATACTCAGTTTAATACCAAAAACTTATCATAAAAAAGGGCAGTTATTATTAAACTTAGTTGAAACAAGTAAAAGTAAAATACATTGGGATAACGAAGGTACAGTCATAATTGATAGTGAAAAAATTCCTGGAAGTAATATTGTTGATTTAATAAATGATTCACTAAGACCCCTAAAAAGAAGTGATCCGGTAGGGTGGGTTAGATTTGCTGAAGCATTAAAAGATATTAAAGTACCACTTACTTATATTGGAAATCCAAGGAGATGTGAGTTTATTAACCAACTTCAAGCAAAAGATCTGAACAAACCCTCTGAGATTGAAGTTCAAGAGTTTTCTACACCGTGCAGTAGAGATAAAAAGTCTACAACTAAAATACGTAAAGGACTTGAGTGGGAAAAATGGACTCCGTACTAGAAGAAATTAACAGGATTTATTATGATCCATCTAATCCCGCTGGTTTTGGTAGTATTGATAAATTATCAAAAGCCATGAAGGGTAAAATGAATAAAAAGCAAGTAAAGGAATGGTTAAAATCACAAGAAACATACACATTACATAAACCCATTCGAAAAAAATTCCCGCGTAATAGGTACATTCTATCAAATATTAATGAACTGTGGCAAGCTGATTTAAGTGATATGCGAACTTATTCTCAATATAATGATGGTTTCAAGTATATACTTTGTATTATTGATGTAATTAGTAAATATGCTTTTGCAAGACCAATGAAAAAGAAAAACTCAGAAACAACTAAAGAATGTTTTGAAAGTATATTTACTGAAAGTAATTTAACACCTACTCACATACAATCCGATAAAGGTACAGAATTTGTTTCAAAAGATGTACAAAAATACTTTAAATCCAAAAAGATTAATTACTATACCACTAACAATCCTGACATTAAGGCCAGTATTGTTGAACGATTTCAAAGAACACTAAAAATGAAAATGTGGCGTTATTTCACTCATAATAATACTTATAGATATATAGATGTTTTACAAGATTTAATATACTCTTATAATCACAGCTTTCACTCTAGTATTAAGATGTGCCCATGTGATGTAAATTCCAACAATATTATGACAGTTTGGACTAATCTTTATGATAGACGGTCAAAAAAACTTTCTTTAGAAAATCCTAAACCAAATTTCAATGTGGGTGATTATGTTCGAATAACTAAATATAAACATGTATTTCAAAAAGGATATGAATCAAATTGGAGTGATGAAATATTTATTATATCTTCAATAATTGATAGATCTCCATGGGTTGTTTATACAATAACAGATTTACAAAATGAACCAATAATTGGTACTTTTTATGAAAGAGAATTACAGAAAATCACTTACAACCCCACCTCACAACATAAAATAGATAAAATAATTGACACTCGTTATTCAGGTAACAGAAAAGAAGTATTAGTGAAGTGGAAAGGTTATCCAGATAAATTTAACAGTTGGATTTTAGCTTCTAGTTTAAAAGAAATATGAATAAAGAAAGTTTCTATTTAACTTTGCTTAGCAATAGTTCAATGGAATACTTTCCTGATAACAAGACCACAAATTTTTCAACGAAATTACCAAAAGCTATAAAATTAGAAGGTGAATGGTCGGTTGGAGTTGTCGAGTTTCAATATCCATGTACCATGTTTACTGTTCAAGACCATGAAAATGTTATATACATTACAAAATCTATGTTAATGCCTAATGAAGATAAGCCATCCACAGTGTACTACAAAAAACATATTCCAGCTACCAACTATGATAACGTTGAGCATATTTTAAGAGTTTTAAATGGTATCGGAGAGAACTTGAAATTTCGCTATGATAAAATAACAAAATTTGTGTCTATTTCGGTATTGGATAAAAATATAACATCCGTAACATTATCACCCAAATTAAGTTTACAGCTAGGTTATGAACCAAATAAAAATCTCCTAGAGAGAAATTTTGGAAAGTGTCCTGCTAATTTACACTTAGGGTTACCATCTCAACTATTTCTATATTGCGACATTATCGATCCTCAGATTGTGGGTGATGTTATGACTCCTTTATTAAGAGTCATTTCATTAGATCCTACAAAATACATTTATGGTGCAAATAAAATTCACGTTTTCTCTCAACCTCACTACTTACCTGTTATGCGAAGAGAGTTCGATACGTTGGAAATAGTTATAAGATCGAGTACAGGACAAAAAATACCATTCCAGTTTGGAACCGTGTGTATTAAACTACATTTCCGAAAATTATAATAATGAATTCTCTTCGTGATCATCATAAATGTCCATATGAAAATTATTATACACATCAAGCTGGATCAGGAGTTGGAGTAATTTATAAGGGTTCACCATATCAACGCGGTCATGGTATTGGGAGCTTCTTAGGGGGGTTATTCAGATCAGTTTTACCTTTACTTTCAAGTGGTGCTCGAGTGATTGGTAAGGAGGCATTAAGCGCTGGAGTAGGACTTTTATCGGATATGGTTCAAGCCCGTCCTATGGAAGCCTCAATAAAAGATCGTCTAAAGCAAGTTAGTACGAATTTAAAACGAAAGGCTGATGAGAAAACTGATCAATTTAACATGACTGGATCTGGGTATAAAACTAAAAGAAAACGATTGACATCGTTCATTCCACCATTAACTGCTAAAGTGAAAGCTGCGAAAAAACTTAGTCTAAAACCAAAAAATATCAAAGATATATTTTCAAACTAAATATGTCTTTCCTTCATAATCATTCTTGCGAGTGCGTTAAGTCAGAATTGGATTTGTTTGCACTACCGTCTACACAAACTAGCATTGAAAATGGATTGTGGATTCATTATAAACCAATTTCATCTCTTGGTGATGATGGACCTATCGAGTTTCAAGTTCCTGGGACCGGCGATGACTACATAGATTTGTCTCATACATTACTCCACATAAAGGCAAAAGTATTAAATCAAGATTCAACTAACTTGGTATCTACTACAATAGTAGCACCTGTAAATAATTGGCTGCATTCACTTTTTAGTCAACTTGATGTTTATTTAAACCAAAAACTTGTATCACCACCTAATAATACCTATGCATATCGAGCATACATGGAAACCCTTTTAAACTATGCCCCTGCTGCTAAACAATCTCATCTTACTTGTAGTCTTTGGTATGAGGATACAGCAGGAAAAATGGATTCTACAGATGGTAAAAACATAGGATTTGTTAAAAGACAGGAATTGATTAGTGAAAGTAAGGAAATAGAAATGATTGGTCATCTTCACGGTGACATTTTTAACCAAGATAAATTTTTAATTAATGGTGTTGAAATGAGTGTTAAATTGGTTCGATCAAGAGAGAGTTTTAATTTAATTGTTGGGTCGAACGATGTAAAGTTTTAAGTTTGCATTACGGACGCAACTCTTATTGTGCGACGAGCACGAATTAATCCAAGTGTATTACTCGCACATCAAAAAGTTTTAGCTTCTACCACTGCTAAATATCCTATTACTCGAGCTGAAGTAAAAGTTTTAACAATTCCTTCAGGTGTTCAAGGAAAAACTCTTGATAATATATTTTTAGGACAGGTACCGAAAAGATGTATAATTGGATTTGTGAACAATTCTGCATTTAATGGTTCCCTTACTAAAAATCCATTTAACTTTGAAAACTATGGTATTAATTCTTTCAGCTTATATATTGATGGTCAACAAATACCTTCAAAAGCTTTGCAACCATCTTTTAATAATAGCATATTTACATCAGCATATCATACTCTATTCTCGGGAACTGGTATTCACTTTCTTAATGAAGGAAATGGAATCTCTTGTGAACAGTATGGCAAAGGTTACTGTCTATCAGCATTTGACTTAACTCCTGATTTATCAGCTAACTCATCAACTCATTGGAATCTCATAAAGCATGGTAGTGTAAGAATAGAAGTACGATTTGAATCCTCATTAATACAAACAATTAACTGTATAGTTTATGCTGAGTTTGATAATATTATTGAGATAGATAAAAACAGAAATGTTACTGTAGACTATAGTAGTTAAGGTTATAATATGTGTTGTGTGTTAGATTTTATGTGTTATGTGTAATGCATTTTGTGTGTATGTAACTATGTGAAACGTTATAAAATTAAATAAAACAAATTGTATGCAATATATTTTTTTTATTTCTTTATAAATCTTCTATTTAATCTAATACAAAACACTGTTCGAGTTGAAATTTTACATAAGCACACTGACTAAACCACTGAACATGCTGCTGCCAAGGATCATCATCATCTTCCCAATCTTTTAAACCACCACCACAATGGAAACACTTGGTCCCGTCTGCATGGCCAGTATAAAAGAAACCAGCTTCGGCAAGATCTTCAGGTTTCTGTCGCATAACTAGAGGCCAGTTTTCGAAACTAAGCAAACGGCTAGATTTTGAACTGAAGAATGGATATTCAGCTCTTGAGTACTGCATACTCTTCTCGTTTTCTTCTCCACTCAGTGTTGTAGTTTTGTTATTCAATGATGTGTTTTGTACACGTATGCCACACTCATCTCTTCCTTCCGCTCTTGTCTTCCTGTAATTGAAGTAAACAGAATCACATTCACTAATGATCAGCTAATGACTGTCATTGTTAAAAAAGTATTTTTTAACTTTTTCACTTTCTGCTATTGTCTTTGTTATATTCTATACGAGGGCGTTTGTATTGTCGTAGATGCTATCCTTATTAGTCTTTACGTAATATTTAATTCTCGTGGAAGCATGTTTCCAATGATCAGTAGTTGGAATCTTGGATAGCTTCTTCATATCGTACATTTCAATTTTGATGAGATGCGTCGCTTGGTCTCCGTCGTCAGAATTAGTAGAAATGTATGATACACCATCTCTAGCGGCTCGTGCTACGGTTGATGATAACAGCTTCCTCTTTTTTATTTTTGATTCAGCTTCAAAAAAATGATCAATCGATTGCGATTTTCTTTTTCCACCATCGCATGTGTTATTATTAATGACGAGGTTATCACTCTCTTCTTGAGGGGAGAGTGGCGAGTAGTAATACTGTTTATAGGTATCTTCATCGAAGCTCAATGATTTCTGCAACAACACAGTTATCATGTTAATATCAATTTGTTAACACTTAATCATAAAAGTTAAAAAAGTTAAAGTTACAGCCTATTAAAGTCCACTGCTGAACATAGGCCTCCTCTCATTTCTGAGAGGGTTTTAGAGCAAGGAAATGTCCGCCGCGCTCCCTCAATGTGTGTTGGTGAACTTCACATGCCTTCAAAATTTTCTCAGACATGCAGGTTTCCTCACGATGTTTTCCTTCACCACCAAGCACGTGGTAATAAGCACTTAAAATTGCTATTAACAATTTAATTGGTGCTGGCGGGGATCGAACCCGGGTCGCGTACTGTGAAATTTACAGCTAGCGCTAACCATCTGAGTTACCACGGCTTAATCATATACATACACAATATTTAAATAAAATAATACACACACACATGAAAATAACAGAAAAAAAGTAATTTAGTCAATAGAATAAACACTTACATCCATAGCCTTTGGTGTATTGAAGTAACACAAATGTACTATTGATAGATCCACTGTAGCCAAACGACCGTACACTAACTCGATGACTGCGTTTGTTGGTCTTAGTGGTAAAGTAAAGAATGACTTTCAATAAGAATTACACATGTAATGTATATTGAATAAAAAATATTCTATTCTATTCTTATATACCACCAGTACGTAAAAATTCTAATCTAAAGTATTTCCGTAATGAGTTGATAATTACTTTATGCGTCAACCAGTTTATCTCACATTTCCGTTGCCTATCTCAACATTTCTTCGTATTGTGTTTTGTTTGGTGATCAATGACTCAAGTACGATTTGTATAACACAAAAATGCAATTTAATATTTAGAAACATATCAGTTTATCTCACATTTCCGTTGCCTATCTCAACATTTCTTCGTATTGTGTTTTGTTTGGTGATCAATGACTCAAGTACGATTTGTATATCACAAAAATGCAATTTAATATGTAGAAATCACTATAATTGACCATTCCTATGTTATTCATTGAGTAGCTAGGTACTGTAATAATCTACTAATAGCAGTAATATCATGGATACACTAGATGTACAACAACATCTGAAAAAGATTCACCCCAGTCTAGAAAATAATGTTTATGCAGCTAATAGACTGCCTATGTATACCCACGTACCAACGTATATAATATGTAATTTGGATACAGATGATAAACCAGGGTCACATTGGGTAGCTTTATATATCGATACGAATGACGTCGGTCAATATTTTGATTCATATGGACGATCACCTGTACGATATCATCTAGAGTTTTTAAAAAGGAATTGTAAAAGATGGAACTGGAATGTTGATAGGATTCAGAATGAGTGGACTTCAGTTTGTGGCGAATATTGCTTAATGTATTTGCTATATAAATTTCAAGGATGTTCAATACATAGTTTTACGAGTATATTTACAAGGAACACATTGTACAACGATATTTTAGTGGATGAGATGTTTCGCTCCTATTTTATAGATAATAATTAATAAGATTTTGTATTTTATAAATAAAAATTGTAACAAAATTATGTAATGTGTTTTATTGATGATTCAGATTAGCGTTGTATAATTAGGAACAAAAAATACAATAGCACTGATATAGTCGACGCACACGCTGCAATGAAGGTGATTAATGAAGAATAGAACAATAGAAATAGGAACAATGGGACGCTAATGACGGTGGAGGCCCTTACCGGATATCAATTAGATATTAGCTAATTGATCTACACATCTCCGGAACCGTGCATTCTACACAAAAATGGACCGCGGATTCGTGATCAGAGCATGACAAAACCTTTTTTTTTTTTTTTTTTTTAGGATCGGGTGTCGACGAACGTCGTTGAACCACGTCTGACTCAGGTGGTCTAGAAGTGGTACAACTACACTACTGTCCCCTTAAAACTGGGCAGGATACATAATTTTCTTTCTTTACGCATAATTAAACAAAGTAGTTTATAACAACGACATTATAATAATTATACTCATTGTACCATTATTTCATAGAGTGTAGTATGTAGTATCGTAATAAATAGTAGTAGACTGGTGAAGTAGGTGCGGAGGCTGGGCGCACTTAGCAGCCAGCCTCCGCAGAGTATAGTAGCGACGGGAAATCCTTTACCTTCATAGTGAATGTGATATTTATTTTGATCATTGTGGCATTTAACGTAGCCTACGACATCCACCAGAAGAAGTGGGGAGATGGATTATTTCTTGTTGTTCCTTGTATCATGTATTATGTAACAATTTATTGTTGTATTGTACGAAAGTAAACGCTTTCAATTAGTGTACTCGTAAAATCATACAATTAAGTTCATGGTATTCGGACGGCTTTCGAAAATTTATTAGTTTAATTTAATTCAGTAATATTTTAATCAAAATTACAGGCATCCAACCGAAAGCGAAAAAATGCTGTAGTGCAATTTTAACGAGCGTTTATCAGTATTTTTTTATTTATTTGTTTCTATAAGCAGTTTATTCAATGAACCGTAGTAAGATAGCCATTTTCAAAAACAGACCAAGAGATGCCTAATCGATTTTGTACTTAAGGAAGCACTTATACTGTTAAACGAGCTTTTGCGCAGAGCAAATACACTTTAGGGTTTTATGTCTGTTTTATTATGGTTATAAATTTAATGAACTTTTCTCAAAAAAACTCCCAGTGCATGGTTTATTCTTACAGAACGCGATTTTCTTTGAACAATGAATTCCACACAAAATAAGTTACAGAAGGTAGAAAAGATCTTTAATTTATTAAAAAAAATCATGACACATTTTAACTCAATTTATGTAGAAAAAGCAAGTAGTTGAATATTCGCTCTCACACTGTTATTATTTTTAATTAACGTTAAAAATTATAATAAAACTTTTAAATAATCTAAATTTTCTGTTTAGTAATTGGATATTATAATTTTACGTATTACTTTCAAGATTATTATTAAATTTATTAAAATTATGAGCAAGTAGGTGAGCTGTCACAAACACAATATTGTAAGTTAAAAAAAAGAGTACACAGACTGTTCGTAGCTACACAGTGACCCAATTTTTATAACACCCAAAATTTCAGAATCGGAAGCGAAATGTGTATTTTAATATGCTACGTGGTTTCATAAGATTTGCAAATTTCTTGAATCAAAGTAAATTCAGTGTGAGTTGTGGGATTCAGACAAGCGAGAAATTTTAAATTTAATTTTAAATCCAAAACATGAGTGAGTTATTGAAAGTTACACTGAACAAGCGATGAATTGAACCTTCAAATACAAATTCTAAGAAAAGTTGCATAAGGGGGAGGGTGCTCGTCTTAAACTTCATAGTAATTGGGCAACCTGAGGTCGATTCATTACCTCATTATAAATAGAAAAAGCAAACCTTTGTTTGTCTAAGAGAGCATGGCATCAATTAATATATCTAGTTTTAATTCATGACAATATACATAGATTTTAATTTTAAATTATTTTGTCGCAAAGTTTGTATGGCGTAGGATGATAATATTGAAGGAACTAATTTATTATTTAAAGAATAACGCTTTCATTTAGATATCAATTTTGGTGATCATGTTTTTAATTTTATTTGTATTTAAATTTGTGTAAAAATTGCTAAATCCTAATAGACTAGTACAAAAAATAAACCTACAATTTTGTATAGAATAAATAAAATATTTCTATTTTATTTCATAACGCTAAAAATTTTGATACATTGGAGAGACGCTGTGTGTTTTCTTGTTGACATTATTTCTTTACTGAGTGTTATTTACATACAGAACCGAGGCATATTAAAAGGTTTCAAAAGCTTTGTATGACTCATTTCTTTTTCTATTTTACGAATCATAATATAACTCAGTAGAATCATGAGTAAAATGATTTTTAATTGCATGTTGAAAGTATGTTGTATTGTCTGAAGTTTAATAAATATACGGAAAAAGTTCGTAGTTCAAATCATTCGTTTGCCTTTTTTCTCTTAAAAACATGT